TACATACATACTTATATATATATATATATATATATATATATATATATATATATATATATTTGTGGGCTTTCGTGTGCGTGCATGTGTGTGTGTGTATATATATGTCTGTATTAATATATAGAGATAAATAGCCAAATTTGTTCAATGTAAGAATCATAGATAAATTTGAGATGTTCCAGAGAGGCAGTCAAAATATGTTCTCTAAACTTTTTGGTCTGTAATATCTGTAATCTTCTACTTTTCACAATTCCTCCTTTAAACACAAAAAGGAAGTCAATGTTTCACACAGAACTTGTACAGAAATTTGTATTTAAATTCTTAAATATTGCTACAATGCACCAAAAAAGTTTAACAATCCAGAACGATCACTTTGAGGACTCGATAAAAACCTTTTATATTAACTTTGATGTAAAGAGAAGCTCAATCAACTGATGCCATAAATCATGCATTAAATACTAAACAGAACTTTATGTATATATATATACACATGCACACACACACACACACACGTATATATATATATATATATATATATATATATATATATATATATATATATATATATATATATATATGGGAGAGAGAGGAGAGAGAGAGAGAGAGAAAGAAACAGAGGGAGAGAGATTGGGTGGAGTGAAACTACTAAAGCTGCAATTTTTAATTTTGTGCTTCAGAACCAGATGACAAAATCAAGGCAAAACGGACAAAAAGATGTTTTTTACCTTCTTTTAATTTTCTTTTTTTTTCCCTTTTTCCACTTTTCCACCCCCTCTTCCTCCTCCTCCTCCTCCTCCTCCTCCTCAAAAAAAGAATCTCGAAACTTGTCGAGATTTTGGATTTGTGTTCGCGTATTTAAATGACGAAAAAGAAAAGAAAGAAACATTGTATCCAAACTAAATCTAAAGAAGTTATTTTGCCAGTCCTCAAAACCATGCTGATGTCATGAAACAATCATGAAGCGATGAGAATTATGATAATAAAGAAGAAGGTGGTGACAGGAAAGCTGAAGATAGACGCAGATGCAGATTTAAAAAGAGCAATAACATTGCAAGTTGTCATCGTTTATAATTTTCATTGGTGGATCTGCTTCGAAAGTGGGCGGTATTATTTTCCTGTACATTGTGTTCAGATTGGCCAATCTGATTTTATTTAAAGTGACGGTGAAACAAGCCGAAAATCACATGAACAGAAGGAAAACGTTGAAGCAAAAGAATAAATATTGAACTCATTGTGATATTATTAACATAATCCTTGATTGTTGATTGAAAAAAAAATGCGCTTCTGTAAGGAGACATTTTTTTCTCTCTGATGTGAAATAAAAACGAAATATAAAGTCTTACATTTGAATCTTTGTTGTTACGGGAGAGATGTTATTTGTAGCTATAAAAAGGATGAATTGTAAATAAAAATAAATTTATTGAATAGATAAGAAAGGGGAATGGGAACAGGTATAGAAACAAAAGCAGTAAGTCTAAAATAATAGTAATATCTTATTTGCTTGTTCTATGGTTTGCTATCAGTATTGAATGGGGGAGGGTCTGGAAGAATAAGGACCACTCTACACCGCTCCTTCTAGAGAGCTATGGCTGCAGCGCATTGAGTGGTGAACCAGGGCTGATTGTTTGTTTTTCGCTGAACACCAAAATTGCAGTCTATAGGGCGTGCGACGTCATCGTGCTGCTCTACGACAGCTAGACTTGGGGCCTCTATCCAGACAGTACATGTACACCGTATGTCGGACGGGGGGATTCCGAAGTTCATTCTGTACGGGGATCTGATCACCGGCGAGAGGGAGACCTCAACTTCACTTCTAGGACGTCTAAAAAAGGGATGTAAGGGCGATGGACTTTTAGAAGTAGGATGATGTTACTAACTATCGTTCATGCTGGAGACGCGATTTATAGGGCTGGAGCGAGAAGAAACGAAAGCATGCCACCAGGTAGAAGCGTGCTCGGCGGAAAGAAAACAACACGTCTATATTGAGGGAGAATGTCTTTACATGCCTTCGTTGCAATCGACTCTGCCACTCCTGTGTGGGGCTGTAGAGCCATAACAGACGCATCGCCGCTATCAACAGCTATCAACAGCTGAGGAATAAGACTTTGGGCGTAGATACAAAGTTTCTCGAGACAGACGGATGCCACAGAAAGTTAGCTGCTTGTTTATTGAAATTCGGAATGTGTGTTTGGTGGAAATGTTTTCAGCGACACCTCACAATTATATCAGGTGCACGAATAAAATTTATCGTTGTGAATGTCACTCGGCAATTGAGAAAGACATGAATGAACTTCCGAGCATTTCCAAAGGCTAATATATTCGTCACATGCATGAAGGTATATTTAAATTAAACCCGGATATTAACCTTATGACATTAAAATATAACTTTATCTATATATTTTAAAGTTTGCTTTTAAACACCTTTTTATTCTGTTCCTGGTTTTAAATTAACATTTCATTCTTCATATAACCCCAATTTAATGCCATAATTTTCATATCTTAGCTTAATTATATCTATCTATCTATCTATCTATATATATATATATATATATATATATATATATATATATGATTTTATAACATACTTATGTTATAATTTTTTTTTTTTATAAAAAATAATTATATATATATATATATATATATTGCCCAACTATACATTAATATATATATATATATATATATATATATATATATATATATATATATATAGTTGGGCAACAACCTTACTTTTAAAGATTTTTTCGTTGAATATGACGGGTAAAGAAAATTTTTATTAAGGTTTTATTTAGTTTTTTTCCAACGTTCTTATATTTTTTGTCTTTGGTGTGAGTAAGGTTGTAAAAAAACTGTCCATACCGTCCACCTGAAAAGAAACTAACATCACTAAAACAAAACCCCCTTGAAAATGGCTAAGGTAGTGTCCGAAAACGCTGGGATCACACACACACACACACACACACACACACACACACACACACACACACACACACACACACACACACACATGCATAAGTATGTATATGCATGAGACAAAGTATATAAACTTTTAACGCGTTGCGCCTTCGTGTACGAAACAGGCTTCTTCAGATCGGAATGAAGCAAACGTTTGTAAAGAAATCATACTCGAATTTTTGAGGAAATAAAAATAAATAATCTTATATCGAACACCTATAATGTTTGTTGTTTTTTTTATTCGTGATGAAATCGTTAAGTTCCGCTGGATTTAAAATGTGAAGAGAAAATTGAAGAAAAAAATATATTGAAAAATTCTCCACTAATCAGTCCCGGATCATAGAAAATATCAACGTCACCGAGGAAACAATAGAAATACAATAGAGAATGAAAAGACGTAATCTCCACGGAATGGTCCAATTTTAGATCCAGCGAATATTAACGGCTTCAATGCGAAAAAAAGAAAGCAACAAAAAAAGCAAACACTTTCTGTTTATTCAATCTGACAAGGTTATTTGTTACTCTTATCTAATAAATTCCAAAGCACTTTCCTTACACAAAAGTTTGTCTTTCATTCAGGCCTGAAGACGTTAGAAAAAGTGTTGGTTACGTCAGCGAGTATAATGGATTGGTCATTATTTCTTGTCGACGTTTAAAGCCACAGTCTTCGCAATATTATCACGTGTTTTATATCACTCTTTATGTCGGATCCTTTTCATGGGGTGATGTTTATTGAATTAATACGACTGGTGTAGCAGATTATTAGCTCAACTCATTATTATAGTATCCTCATCCACATTTCTTTCTCTCTCTCTCCCCATCAAACACATAACACACACGCGCGCGCGCACACACACACATATAATTATTAACCTGCTTAGATAAGCGGTAGCAACATTGTGTTGAATCTATCTTCCAACAAGGGAAGGAACTCTTGAATAGCTAGAAAAGCAATATTTCAAAGTTTGCCCTCTTTCTTCAGTTCAACCATTGGAGTTACTGGTTAAACGAAATGCTACCAACAAAAGGAGGATCTCTCTCTCTCTCTCTCTCTCTCTCTCTCTCTCTCTCTCTGGATTCGATTTCCTGTAGAATACATGAATAGCGAATATTTAATATTTCATTTTTCTGAATAGCAACATTGATAGAGAAATCGGTAGATATTGCTGAAAAGTTTGGAGACGGCTACCAGTATAATGATGAGGTCAGATGCCTTTTGTTGAATAACTAGCAACAGTACGTAAACAAATAAATTCTTATGACTAGTCTCGTCCTCAATGCAGTATATCTCATAGCAGTATATCTCATAGTAATATATGCTGGTGAAAATGCTTATTGCTCAATCTAGTGATATCCTGTTTGATGTATATCCTCTTTAGATTATAGTAATCCAGCAGTCTACAGTGTGATGTACAGAGGATAGAGGAATCTATGTTTGTTTATTATTTTAGTAATTCAAAAAATATATTGTGTTGATAAGTTAAGGTTGGGGAATCGTTACTTGCAGTCGATGTGTCGTGTGCTTGTTAACAACAAAATTTATCTTCCCATTTATCTTATTGTTGAAACTTGACTAATGCATGGAATAATAATACAACACAAAATGTACTTAGAACAAAATGTATTGAAACAAGAAAGTGTACACAATATTTACATATAGTCTTTTGTATATTCTTGGGAAGACCGTTCCTGGAGAATGTGTTGACTTAGTCGCAGTCGGGCAGAGTCTCTGGATTGAATCTCTTGATTCCTCCCCTCGTCTTCCCGGTACCAACCATATTTATATGGTCGGTACTCCACTATGCAAATTAGGTGGATCCTACCACAACACTTATGTAGCAATTTCTTGAAAAATAAGGCTGTTTTGTAAAGTCTTTTTTCAAACTTAGCCATGTCAGATACGAACGACGAATATGTTGTGCATATGTAAGCAAGGAACTTAACAAAAATCATTAAACGCCTGCCTATATCGGTTCATCTAATATCGAAAGTGAACGATAACATGCTTTCATATTGAGTGATTGTAATTAAGACAGTTTTAACGTGTAAACCAGATAGATAGATACAGAGAGAGAGAGAGAGAGAGAGAGAGAGGAGGGATAGAGAGGGAAAGTTGGAAGGAAAATGAGGTAGAAAGAAAGAAAAATGAGGTTGAGGGAGAGATAGATAAAAGTTGGTGAGAGAAAGAGAAAGGACAGAGAGAAAAGTAGAGAGAGACGGAAAGAGAAAAAAAAAGAGGGAGAGAGAAAAAGTAGGGATCAGAGAGAGAAAAAGACGGGTGAGATAGAAAAAGGAGGACTGAGAGAGCGAGAAGGGTGAGAGAGAGAGAGAGGGGGAGTGGTGAGTGAGAGAAGGAGTGTGAGAGAAATGAGTAGGAGAAAGAGAGAAAGGAAGGAAAGACAAGTGATGGGGAGAGAGAGAGAATGGGTGAAAGAGCGAGAAAGAAGGGGGTAGAGAAAGGAGAAAGAGAAAGGAGGGATAGAAAGAGAAAAAGGGAGAGAGAGAGATAGAAAAGAAGGGAGTAGAGACAGAGGCAGAGAGAGATTAAAAGAAAGGAGGGGCAGAGGGAAAGGAGGGGATAAAGATAAAGGATGAGGAAAATAATTGAGGAGGAAAGAGAGAAAGAGTCGATAAAGAAGAAGGGGGGGAGAAAGAAAGAGGGCGAGAGAGAGGACGAAGGGGAGAGAGAAAGGGAGAGAGGAAGGAGGGGAGAGATATAAGAGGAGAGAGGAAGGCGGGAAGAGAAATAAAGAAGAAAGAATAAGGTATAGAGGGGAAAGGATGGCGAAGAGCGGGAAAAGGTTGAGGGCTCGAGTGTAAACGGAATGGCAATGAGAGCAAGATCGTAATGTGAAAACTCTCAAAGAATCGTTAAAAATGCCATGTCCTACAGCAGAAATGTCAAGTACAGAATGGTAAATCCAAGGAAATATTTTGTTTCATTCAATCTAAGAACAGTGGCAAATATAATTGAAGAACTTCTTTCTTTTCAAAACCATTATGTAGATTATACGTGAACAAATCCTACATCCGCCAGCAATCACCTATGCAAAACACACACCCCCCACACACACTATATATATATATATATATATATATATATATTTAATTTATTTTGGATATTACATGGAAAACATGTCAAAATCGCTACACAATTGCAGTCATGTTTCGATGCGTATCGACGCATCTCATCAGGCGATTGTGAAATTACTGGTGAGTGAACGATTTATTCAGATTTAAAAGCAAAATATAGATACAAATAGAATCAATGGGTCATGACACATCTTTGAAAAATAATTTCTTAATACTTGCTTCTTCCCTTAGATTAAATTTACGTAGGTCATATTCGAATTGTTGACCTGAGTACAGATCACAAACCTTATATCCACCCACTTCTCTTTTTTCTTTTTCGTAAAAAAGGGCGGTTTAAGCTATGATGGCCAATCAAAATACAAGTATATGATAATTCAAATAAGTTGGTAAGGAACCCTAGATACAATTTATAAGTGCTTTAATATTAATATTAGATTAGATTGGACATCAATATAACAAATTAACTTTTAATTTACTATGCAATTAAAGAATAAAAATTACGAATATTAAATTTTAAATATTACCATGCATTAGTTTAGAATATTACAAAATTATTCAAAGAAAAAAAAGAGAAAATATAATTATATCTTCATGTATTGTTCTTAGCTATATGTTAAGTTCCCCTTTCGATTCGGCATTGATGTAAGAGGTATCCATTGCCGGTGTTGGGTTGTCGGTTCCTAAGAACTGATCTGCTTGACCCTCAAACGTTGAATTTGAGGGAGAGAATATAATATATATATATATATATATATATATATATATATATATATATATATATATATATATATAAATTTTTATCAAATAAAGTTAAGAAATGTATAATAGAAAAAAAAAAAAACGCATGTCAGGCTATAAACAAAGCAGAAAGAGAAGATAAATCTACATATACACCAATAAATAAAGGGACAGCCATAAGCTTATACAAATATAAAGAAAGAACCGAACATCCAAACCCCCAGCAAAGAAACTACGTACACATACAGAAAACAAAACCAGCATATATATAGAATTAAGACAAACACATGTACTCACATATATACAAATACAGTGTAACCCGGATGTAAGGGAGTTGTCGGGATCGGAGAAGAAGTCTCTTATATCCGGGTTTCTCTTATATCCGGGTTTGGTCTATTTTATATACATTAACACAGGCTCTAATTTGGGACCAGAGAAAATCTCTCTTATATCCGGGTTTCTCTTATATCCGGGTCTCTTATATCCGGGTTACACTGTATATGCATGAGTACACACAAACATGCACACGGGCATAGATAAATACATGTACATACACACAAATAAATATATATACCTAAACAGACACACACACACATATATATATATATATATATATATATATATATATATATATATATATCTGTTTATATATATATATATATATATATATATATATATATATATATATATATATATATATAGTTATATATTTATTATATATAGTTATATTGTTGTGTCGGAAACCTACCACTCCTCTTGAAGATGAACTTGTCTGCGAACAAAGACTTTAAATAGTGGCATATCAAAAGACAGAAGTTCTTAGCTGAGCTAGTTATTGACTACTCAGGCGATTTCTGTACCTATTTACCAACCTTTATTTGTTCTCTTCTAATACTATACAAATTAACGGCACACCGCGAAATCGATATTAAGGACATCGGACTGTATAGAGATGACGGGCTCATGGTGGTGAGGAGTTCTACTAGTTTTAAGATAGACAAAATCAGAAAAATTATATTTAGTGAATTTAAAAAACTAAACTTAAAGATAATTGTCTCTTCTAATTTGAAAAGGGTACACTTCCTCGACGTAACTCTAGACTTACCAGGCAACACATACCAACCTTATAGAAAACCAAATGCTAACTCTTTGTATATACACCCGAAGTCAAACCACCCTCCATCCATAATTAAGCATATACCCTCGTCAATAGAAAATAGAATTAGCATTAACTCCGCTAACAAGGAAATATTCCAACAACACAATGGCTTCTACAACACTGCCCTAAAAAATAATGGTTATAAAAATGCTAACATTAACTATAGAGACGATTGCACAGGCCATAAGAAAAAAAACAGGAAAAGAAAAATCATTTGGTATACCCCTCCGTTCAACCAAATGGTTAGTATTAAACTAGGACAGAAATTCTTAGCTCCAATTGATAAACACTTCCCCACCAATAGTAAGCTTAGTAATATATTCAATAAGAACACCCTAAAATTGAGTTACAGCTGCTCTGAAAATCTTGAACGTATAATAAAAAAACACAATAATAAGATCTTGAACAAACACCCATGCCTGAATAGTATTAATAAAAACCCTGCACTTAAATCAGACAATAAAAGGGAAAAATTGTGTAATTGTAGAAACCTAGAAGACTGCCCATTAGAAAATAAATGCTGCATTAAATCTGTGGTATACCAATGTACTATATCATCCACTGAGAGTCCTAGCACTAATATGATATACATTGGGTCCACGAAGAATGATTTTAAAGACTGATGGAGGCAGCATAAGTGCTCTTTCAATAATATAAATAAAAGAAATCAGACTTCCCTATCTAAATATTTTTGGCATCTGAAGGAAACAAATAGGACACCTAAAGTAAAATGGAAAATTATAAACAGGGCTAGAACATGTAAAACTTGGGATGACCCATGCCCTCTGTGCCTCCATGAGAAATTGCACATTATTAAGCTTCTAAATAATAATAATCTATTAAACAATAGACATGAGTTAACTGTTTTTTGTCGACATCATCAGATTCATGGTTTGAATAATTAGCTAAAAACAAACATACAGTATAATAACTTGATTAATCCATAGCCCAATCGTCAGATTCATGGTTTGAATAATTAGGTAAGAACAAGCATACAATATAATAACTTTCATAATCCATAGCCTAAATAAATAGTTTAAATACCCTACAAAAAAGATAACCCTTTATGAAGTCGTCAAAAAACAAACGTTACGGCAGTTTTTTTATATGCACAAATACCTTATATAAAAAAATAAAATAAAAAAATAAATAAATCTCCATAGACACACATGCCAGACTAGGGTTAATACATCTTCCGTTTCAAATTTAGACACCCCCATCTATGAAAGTAACTATATACTGATACTTATTATTAACACCCAACACACGCCTACCCTATTTAAACAATTCGCCCTAGCTGTTACCATGGAAATTTTGATTTCAATTATTAAAACACGTAAATTTCAGAAATACGTTATTCCAAAAAAAATTTCGCTTGAAGATGGAACAGAGCTTACTTTAACTCATATATTGAAGTATTCGGCTCTTGTTTTGAATATATATATTGACCTTTTAAAACTTTTTATATTGCAATCAACACCATCATTTAACGAAACATTAGAAGTGTTGAAACAAAATAGCTATTTTTTGTAGTGATATTATAACATGCTGATGTTATAATTTTTTTATATATATATATATATATATATATATATATATATATATATATATAGAGAGAGAGAGAGAGAGGGGTAGAGATAAGCACTGTTTTATTAACACCAGCACTATATGCGTAACACACACACACACACACACACACATCACTTAATTAGGCAAACAGTTTTTTTTTCACATCTAAATAGTCTCTACCCCTCTTACAATTTACGATGGACGTGTCGAATAACAAATATATATTATGCTTTCCTGTATGTGCTGGTTGAGAGAACTTCTACTTCTTTCCTCACCAGCGTTTATAGGAAGCCCCTTTTTACTGGGCTCTATTTCAGATGGCACTCTTTTGCTCCTAAATCTAGGAAAAGTAACCTTATTCATCGAGTATTGATGATATGCTCGGAGTGCAAACTTGATACCGAACTCAAGGAAATTACTGATATCTTTCAAAGATATCTGGAAAGTTTCATCAAAACAAATATTAGACTTAAAATTTCTAAGTTTAATGTAATTAAATCATTGTTCCCCCTAAGTGTCCTGTTTACATGAGATTACCTTCGATTAGCTTGTATAGCCAATCATGCGCTGATAAAATCTCGTCAAATATCATGACTGCTTTAATTCTTTAGTAGCACGGAACACCTTTGCTACTAGGAGTGCTTTCCCATCTGTCCCTCGGACGAAATGGAGGTGGTTGTTATTAACACGTCCCCTCTAACTGTTTGTAGGTAGAGGGAGTTGAAACATAAACTGGCACTCTTCGGCGAGGCTTTGTCTTGTTCTGGCTAACTTTAATTTTCTTTTTCTTTCTCCACCGCCTCGTCTCTCTTAATTCTTTTGCAAGGAAATTGCAGCAGGCTTTTCGTAATTCCGACGATTTTTCTTCTGAAAAAGTGTCAGACGTAAGGTACATTAAAATTTCTATTTTTAATCTAGACGTTACATTTGCAACCGACTATTTGATTAATAAAAATGTTCCTTACATATATATATATATATATATATATATATATATATATATATATATATACAGATATATAGATAGATAGATAGATAGAGAGAGAGAGAGAGAGAGATGTCTGATTGAATAAATTAAACACATTATGTCTGCTAAATTTAAATAAAATCCGTTCATACTCACGAATAACCTTCTGTGTATTGATGTTAAAGGATGAGAGAAATGTGCTATAACTGTTTAAGTTTTTTATTTTCATTTCCTAAGATCATCTTCAGGGGTGCAAATGGTACAAAACTATATGTTGTTCTTGGGAAATGAAAATAAAAGAAATTTAAACAGATATAGTACATTTCTCTCATTCTTTAACGTCAATACACGGAAGGTTGTTCGTGAGTATGGATAGATTTTGTCTGTAATGTCTGTAATTTATTCACTCTATATATATATATATATATATATATATATATATATATATATATATATATATATGCATGTTTCATTAAAAAACAAACACTAATCAACAACGGCTCCCCTAACCACCTTATAGACCACCAAATTAGACTATTTCTCCCCAAAGTAAATAATAACGATAGTGAACACACAGTCAAAAATTATATACACATTTATTACAAAAACCAAATGCCCATTAACTACAAACAAGAGGAAACTTCACTAAGACATATTATAAAGAAATACACTTCCCCAATCGTCCCGACTAAAAAAAGCAAATTAATTAAAAAAATTTAAGACAGCTAACCTTATCATCAAAAATAACAACACACCAGCTAAGTCAAAATTACAAAGAACAAATATTATTTATGAGTTCAAATGCCTTTTAACGGACTGTGTTCCTGATCAAACTAGACTCATAAATAATTACATCGGTTACACAACTACATGCTTATCCAGACGCCTTACGTTACATCATAGCTCTATTAGAAGCCATTTAAACACACACACAAACTTACCAGACTCCATTAGAAATATACTAGTAGAAAACACAAATATAATAATTCCATCGACCAGCTTTAATAATAAAAAAGAAAAAGCCAACTCTTAACAATATTAACTACGAACAAGGCCACAACCTGCTAACCGTATTCGGAAATTAAATTATCCCTACAACACGCTAAAACATACACATAATGCACACACTCAAGTAAGCTGAAAAATCGAATCATCCTTGATAATGGCTAATGGTATAGCCGAAAGCGCTCGGAACTATAAAACATTTCGACAGTTTTTACACACTCTTTGTCCAGGAAAGAAAGATCTTGTTCGAACACAAGATAAATTAAATAAAAATCTTAACCGTAGTACCTTTTCTGTCGTTTTTGATGAAACAAGCATAAAGAAAGGATTGCTGTATAAATATACCACTATCAAATATATAGAAACTATCAAAATATATATAAATTATTTTCACATAGAGTGTATCTGTAAAGGAACAAAATGAATAAAAAGAAAAGAGGAAAACTATTCTTAGCCGACGCGTTTCCTTCAGTGGACGAAACACGTTTCTTAGGGCCTTCATCAAGCCACTTGTCTTGATAAAATCCTTCAGAGGACGAAATCCTTTGGCTAAGAATAGAATTTCCTCGTTTTTTATACACACACACACACACACACACACACACACATATATATATATATATATATATATACATACAAAAAGTTATGAGTATTGAATTTATCGATGTATTTCTTATATATGTAATAGTCCAATATATAAATTAATTAAACGATGAATGCATCATTTATAACTTTATTTCCCAAACAAATCTTTTCCGCCATTTCACCTTCCATTTCTTCTCATATTTTTCTCATGGTAGACGTTAATATCTACTTAAAAATATTCTAGTTAGCCTTCTATCTCGAAATTTCAAACAATAATTGCAAAATGAGAAAAAATTTAATTAGTGAATGACAGGAGGATATGGTGATAGCAGAATGCAGATTAACTTTCTCAACTTCTTCCTGCAAATTTCGATCTAAATCTTAAAAAAAAATAATGAAATATCCGACGCTAACTAACCAACAAAGCAAATATCAAGTCATTCTTCTTACGTCTCTGCTGGTGTTCTTCTTGACGAAGTTAAGTAGTCATATGGTAAAGTGAAACATACACAAAAACTAATATATAAAACAGTCGAACTGCTGTTTACTTTCCGCCTGCTTGCAGCTGCTGTATGCAACGTTATTGTATTTGTTTATTGCACGTGTTCTCCACACTGCTGTGGGTGACAGCACTGGTGGACCACAGGGGATGGCCTAGGGTTAGAGTCAAGTGCGAGGGTTAAGAATAAATGGATAGGGTCAGGACAAATCCACTTGGTGATATGATAACAGCACAGTAATTGGATTAGTGGTTATCGAAGATTTTGTCAGAAATAAAGTGTATTCTAACATAAAGTATACGTATTTATCTATGAGTTGCTACACACACACACACACACACACACACACACACACACACACACACACACACACACACACACACACACGAGTGCCTATAAAAATTAATGCTGCAAGGTGACTTGAAGTTTTACGCGTTAAGCGATCATCAGGCAATCTAATGATCTCTTAAGCCAATCATCATACAGTAGTGATTTCCGTGTTCACAGTGTTTATAACAACATAATATACTTTATTATATATTATTTATTCCATTAATATTGAGGTCTCTTTCCCTATGAATATAGAAACATTTTAATATCTCTGCATATAAACTCCTGATGAAAGATTAACAAATTTATATTTAAACGATTTTTTAAAATTATTTTTTCGAAAATTTTTTCTTGTTTCCGGGCAGAGTTTGAACATAAATTATCCAATATATTCTGAGTTCTTTTTTCTCGAAGACCTTTATCAAATTGGTGGGATAACAAGTGTATGTGTATATGTGTATGAGTGTGTGTGTGCGGTATATCTTTGTTGGTTTTACACTGTTGTAAGCATCATGAAGTAGTTAGCCATTCTCATAACAAAAAAGCAGCAAATATATCGACAGCTAAAGTTGCTGACAGAAATATATAAAAAAATCTCATGGCGCAATATGACATAATAAAGCAAAACTGCAAAAGGAATTAACTAAAGTTTAATTGAATTTTTCATTGACGTTTATGATTTATAGAGTAGAGTTTGGCAAGAAAAAAATGTGACTATGTTAAAAATAATTATTTACTATATAAAGACATTGGCTATGGGTTTATTGACCTACTTCCCGCATATATATATATATATATATATATATATATATATATATATATATATATATATTTATATATATATATATATATGTGTGTGTCTGTGTGTGTATATATATATACAAAAAGGGATAGAGATAGATATAGAGAGAAATAAAGAGATAAATAATGATATATAGTTAGATACACATAAATACAAACAGAGATATATAGAAATATATATATATATATATATATATATATATATATATATATATATATATATATATATATATATATATATAACCTTAGTTGAATGAATTTGAGTTTGAAACCCTAGGTTTCACGCTTTTGCGATCCTCAGACAAACTCTGACATCCAAACAAGTAAGTATTTTAGATCTATCACTGATATTGAGCGCTTTTTCGATAGATAGAGATTATAGAGACATTGAGAGAGATGTTTGTGTGTGTTTGTATGTGTGAGTTGGACGTAAAATACCTGGAAGCTCATTTGGTTCCTGTCTGCCTCAACATTTGTTGTTTCATTGGTGCTAGAAAATGAGTTTAGTGCTGTAAAACGTTCTCTTCACTGATAATAAATTCCCGAACAGGACTCTCTTAGATTCTTTACGACATGGAAATAATCCCTGAAATGTTCGTTTCGGAGTTATGTGTCCTGGTGGAAGGGATCCTTTCGGTCGTAACTCGGCTTCTCCCATTCTGAATATCTTGAAATCCAACTGCGCGCTATAGGTGAAGATTTGTAGCCATTCAGGAAACCAAATTGCCTATATGTTAACAGGCACCCTCAAGATTCAATCAATAGAGAAACATCAGTGTATGAACATGATGATCGCGAATAAATAATAAGTTTAGCTTCATATTTAATCATTCGGTAACAGAAAGTATTCGAATGTTTAAAAAGGTTCTTTGCTGTGATTTATTGATTGACGCTCACAGAGTTTTGGTACCGGCACTGAACCCAGAATCTGGTAAAAATTATTCACTTTCCGGAAGGCCCTCAACGGTAGAACATTTATACAATGCGTAACGAGCCCAGGAAATAATCAAAGGAAATTGGCGATTGTGAGCGCTTATTCCAAAGACTGTTCGGAATACATTCAGAGATTTCAATATCTTGATAGTCAGGATTCGCATTTAAAGAAGAGATAAAAATTTTTTGTAATCATTATTATAGTTTTATAAAACATCCTGTATTATATATTTATAAAAATCCGTTATTATTTATAGGTTTTGAATTATGACATATCAATGCCCACTCTTCCAAATATCGGGCACTAATGCTTCTCGTTTTAAACGGATGCTGTTTTCAGAACAAATATAGAAACAAAGACAAACTAAGAA